AAGATGTGGAACAGAATTCAGTGGAGGGAACAAGCGAAAGGTGTGCAAATTATGTCACTCTAATTGGATATACTATAATTTCATCCTTGCATCAGTATGAAGCCTTATTTTAACACAGGAGTGAGTACCCTACCAGAGTCCTCCAGATGTTGTTGGACTCCCAACTCCCACCAGCCCCAGCCAGCATGGCCAATGGCCAGGGATGATGGGATTTACTGTTCAGCAACATCTGGAGGGATGGCCCATGTCCTCTGCATGCAAGTAGACCTTTAAGTCCAATCTGCAGTTATTTTAAGGCAAGTTCCTTAAAAAATAAATCCGCACACTTTGAAATCATAAATTTTAAAAAGCACTCAGGAGGTGGTATGATAGCTTTCTGGCTTTTCATTTAAAAAACAAACTGATTTCTAGCTGCTTCTATCCATCTATTTCCTGTACTTTATGCTGGCATCCTTACATAGGGTTGCCCCACATCCAGACATATCTGGAATACTGTAGTCGGAAGCTGTGGCTGAGCGAAAATTGCTAAAATGTCTGGGGAAATCCAGATACATGGCAAACCATGTTGGCAGTGTTGTTTTTGGCAGTTTTCCTTAAAAGTTTGGCTCTCCCCCATGAGGACATTGTATGAGGGGGGGAAAGATGGTTGTTGGTACATGGGCATGAGCAGCCATCTTGTCCTCTGTACAATTACTCAGGTAGTGGTGGCATGTCATAATGTACTTTCACATCCAGGGACTTTCTACTCATAACATTTAAATGAGCATGACAAACACTGTGCTTTCTAACTGCTTCAAGCAACTAGAAACGGGTCTTTTACAAGACAAATAGAACTGGAAAGCCCATGGCCCATCTTTTTTTAAAAGTAAAACCATGCTCAAAAAGGTTCATAGTCATATGCTGTAATCTGCTTTTTGTTGTTGTTCCAATCCATGCATGATCCACTGTATGCAGACTTGGGGAGGTTTGCTCCAAATTGCGGCACACGCTGAAATTCTCCCCCATCCGTAGTCACAGGTTCTGCATCTCTGTTGCAACAGTGCCTGCTTCAAACACCCTCCAAAGCCAAACCAACTACAAAAAACATGCATGCAAACGCCACCAAGGCATTTGGGGTTCTGCTGTCCTTGACTGTGTTGTTGCATAGATTGACACAGCTCCCTAAAACAGGGGGCTAGAGGAACAGGGCCTGATCTACATTTGAGGGGGTGGTACGCTTTGAGAGTGGTGGGCTTTGCCAGGATGCTGGGACGCTCATTATGTTATGTGCTGAAATCACAACTGGAAGTGACTCTAAAGTGCATCAAGTAGACTTCTGAATATTTTCAGTTTAGCCTATGTGCAGATATTGCTTCAATTATTTTCTTATGGACTGTGTTCCGTACCTCATGGCAAGGCATCAAACATGACAGAAAGAAAAGTTTTCCACTGAAAACTCTGGAAAGTTCCTAAAGAAATGACCCCACACTGAAGAACTTTCCTTATCATAGAAGCATGGTGGCTTTAACTTCAATACTCGCAGTCACATAACCCACAAGGTTGACATTTTGGTGTGCAGGTATCTGACTGTGGATTAATGTTCTTCTAAGGTATCTAAGGCTGTATTTCAATGTCCACTGCCAAAGTCTATGCAGTTCTCCAAAGGCCAATCTGAACAGCATGACTTACTGGAGAAACATTTGAGCCAAGGTGAGTGTCTGTTGAACTTGAAACATTTTTTTCCTATCGTTTGTATCCAACTATTACTTTGAGAAAATGCTGCTGTTTATAGTTCACAGCACACACTCTGTGCCACTGCAATGCTCCAAGGGAAGATCTGTGCAACCTTTCATCATCTCCATGCAGATTAAATTCATCCCCCGGAACACTAGACTGTCTTTTTATTTGCTAAATTGTCTGTTTACTCCTACAGCAGCATGCAGATTCGTTTTCAGACTTTGCTCAATGGAACGATCCCCAGCAAACATAATGTGAATAGAATTTCTATAAAGGTTTGTGTGAGATTGCACCTGCACCAGCACACGACCGTTCAAAGCTTACACACACAACACACACACACACATTTGTGTCCTGTTCCCTTGTCCTAATGTAGCAACATGCTGACCACAGTAATGCATACCATATTCATATTAGACTGGGCTACTATAGGATGTTCTGTGTGGAGATTCCTTTTGGGAAATGATTGGAAATTGATACAAAACGTGGCCGTCAGATTATTGAGCCAAGAGAGATGCTTGGAGCTCATCATTTCAATGTTGCAACAATCATATTTGTTCTGTCTCTTTTTTAAGGTCTTTTTTTTATTGATAACATAGGTTCTCAGTCTTACAGAAGAGTCATGGCTTTTATACAAAAGAAGAGATCCACCTCTCATTTTAGGGGTGTGTATTCATTTTATTAAAAAATGAATGAAAAAAGAAATGAACAAATGTGAAAAATAAAAGTGGCCATACCTCTTTTTCTCCAGACTGCCTGAAATTTGGCAAGTCTGATACTCTTGGAGCATAGAAGAATTCTGAAATGTTATGCCATTTGGAAGGAAAACATTAAAGTTACCAGCAGAAGAAGCATAGATCTCCACTAAGATCCATGGAACAACGAAAATGAATATGAATCAAAGGCAACTAATTGGTCGTAAAATGACCTGAATATTGCCTCAAAAACAAAAAAGAAAAATTAAATGAAGATTTTAATTTTTTTTAACATTGCACATCCCTAATTTCTTGTTCTGCCCTCTCACAAGTAGCATCTAGTGATAGAAATCACATCAAACGGAATCGTTTGTGCTCTGCTCTGAGCCTTCTCAGCTGCACAATTAAGCAGCCAATTAAGTGAAACAAGGACAGGGAAACCAGGAACATAATGATATCATGTCACACATTTTGTATAACTAGATGCCACGGGGAAGAAAGAAGGGGACCTGGAATTTCTACTTTTTCCAACGGCCATGCATCCTCTGTAACATCCTGCTCTGGCCTTCATTACATTGCCTAAACTCCACGCATGGCTAGCTGCACGTGCTCTGATGTACTGATAACTTTTACAAATTGTAAGAATAGGCCTGCTAACAGATAGTAACAGCTGGACTTTGTATGCTGGATTTGGAGGAGCCTGCTTCTGACTGTCTCTTCCAGGTGACCACAGGAGCGACCTAATTCATGCAGTGGAGGTTTAGTTATGCTATAGCAAGTTTGTAGGATGCTTCATAAACCATCTGTTGGATCTATAATTATATTATTGGCCCATAGCAGCCACTATGCTTGCATTGCACAAGTTAATCCTGCCAGTGAATCCTTTGGAAGCCATTTTTCTAAGAAACTGCCCAATGCAAGGGGTTGTATAAAGAACTGTCTTGCAAAGTGCACACAATCCAATTATTTGGAACTATTTTAATGCTCATGACTAAGATGAAATACCAGGAGTCAGTGGCTGGGATTAAATGAGTTCTTGCAAACCAATGGCCATCCACCAGTGGCTTTCTATCGCCCCTGAGGATTCGTCATGTTGACTGGGGCTGATGGGAGCTGGAGTCCATCAACATCTGGAGGGCCCCAGGTTCCCAATCTTGGTCTAAAGAAACATTGGACAACATGATAAAGTCTCTGCACTTAAACTTCAGACATATAGTCCAAATTGGAAAAGGCATTAGTTACAGACTGCATTAGCTACTCTATTTGCTAGTGTGGGGGATCCTCAGATCCCAAGACAGGGCTCAGTAAAGACTGTGGTGGAATCTACACACATATAAAAATTGCTAGGAAAATGCTTTTTTAAAAAAGTTTTGAAAAATACATTGAATTTGGCATAGCTCACTGTCGCCATCTAGTGTCACATCCGTATATCGCACTTTACAATGCATTTAAAATGTTTTATTTGCCGCTGTATAGCTGAGTCCTCTGGTTCTTAATTCTGCCTCTGTCATAAACTGGACACAGAATGAAGTGCTCACTTCCAGAAAGCTTCTTTGTGAGATTGGTCACACAGTAGCCATAACAGGTCCCCATAATAATTTCAGCCACACACACACAAAAAGAGGAGTGGGGAAGCAAGATGAAGCACTAAGGCCAAATCTGGCATATTCTCAGGGGCTAAGAGTGGAGAGGAAAATAAAACTGGCATCTGAAATAGAGCAAACCCTCCCAGATGCCCTTTCTGAACAATAGAGCAAACACTCATCTATTATATTTGTCAGGATAACAAATCAGGGTAGCAGAAGTGAGAGGATGCCAGTTCTTGGAAGGACATATAGGGAAGGCATTTTGAGACATGCAAGATGAATACGCTGCCTAATGAAGAACAATGGAAAGGTATGCTCTATTAAGCTACTAATCACTACTCTGCTCTTTTCATACAGTTCTGAAGAGGAGTATGATGAAGAGTGAGAATATTTACACAGATGTTCAAAGAGACAACAAGGACTAGGAAAGGACAAAAGAGCAAATCCAATTCAGAAGGTGTTTAAAGGCAAGGGCGATGAAGGAAAGCAGAGAGTTTGTATAAGTGAACTTGTGTTTGGGCAAGAAAACTCTCAGTCTTGGGTCTATGTCAGAGTCATCATAAAAATGCCATGGAGAATATATTAAAGAATGTTGGCCATATTCTAATCAAATTTAAATCCAATTGCATATTATTACCTCTACCTTTTTGAGATACTGAAGGAAAAGTTAGATAACCTACAAATGAACAAATTATTACTCATTGCAAAAAGGAAAGCATACTTTTAAATATTTTATTATTCATTCCTTATTGCAGTAACCCAGTAAGATCAAAATAGCCTCAAAAATAAGCAACCGTGCCCTTATCTTTTAGATTCACCTATGAAAATGAATCCTGGTTGATTAATCAACTAAAGCTTTAGTTGATTGACCTACTGATTACACTAATCAAAACTTCCAGCCTGACTAAATGAAAATTGCAGCTGAAAGAATCTTATCACAAATGTATCTGAATTGTTGCAGCATTATGCAGAAAATTAATACTAGCTCTATTATGGGATATATTATATATATATATGTGTGTGTGTATATATATATATATATATATATATATATATACACACACACACACACACACACACACACATACATACATATATGTGCAGTGTTAGTAATACAAAAATAAGGTGCAACAGAGGCATTTAAACCTTGTTGTAGTGTGGATAGTCTAAAGTATGTGCACAGGTCAAAATAGAGGGTTCTAATTCCTGACTTCTTTGTAACCCAACGGCAGACTCTCCAAATGTCCCTATTTTCCAGGGATGTCCCTGATTTAGAGAAGCCGTCCCAGTTTCTGATTTGATCCCATAATGTCCCACTTTTCCTTAGGATGTCCCTATTTTCATTGGAGAAATGTTGGAGGGTATGGAGTTATCCAGCCCCCAAGCCGTCTGAAGGCAATCCTGTATAGGGAAGGTTGTTACAGTATTATGTTTTTATGTGGGTTGGAAGCTGCCCAGAGTGGCTGGGGCATCATTATGGAATGGGATGTCCCTATTTTCATTGGAGAAATGTTGGAGGGTATGCGACAGGAGAGGGCCTTAGGCTAGACCCTTAAAACATTCAGCTACATCATGTGACCTGGCAACCCAGCATAGAACACTATTTTAAAGTCTTGTTTTGCCTCTGCCAAGGTAAAGCAGAACAGCAGCAGCAACCCCACTACTTAATGGGGTTTGTATCTGGTGTAACTTTACGGTGGTTTAACTTACACAAGCTTGCTTTACGTCAGCTTCTTGTGAGTAGGATTGCTCCCTTTATGCTTCACTATGCTTGTTTATTAGGTGTGGGGAATACAATTTGAAAAGCTTTCCTGTTCTTTGTGTCCATTCACAATTCTGCCAGCACATTCTGCATATGAAAGTTGTACTCTGTGAATGCAAAGTCACCTTTGAATATATATTGTTTCCTGCTCCCTAATTAAATGCACAATATGACAATTTCTGCACACAATTACGTGTCTCAACTTCAGAACCAATGCACAACAAACAGGCATGCATAGCATTATAGTATGATTAAAATGTAAGTCAAGTTTCTCCCCCTTCCCCCTTGGATGCACTAGAGAAGCAAAATAAGATCAAAAACTCCAGATGCTCTAACTTGCTTTACTGGAGTAACCGCCAACCAAATCAGACATGAGGAGAATATAATTAGGTTATAAGTAATATGAGCAAGATGAGCAAGTGGATAACTGTTTAGCATTTTGTTAATGAATGTTGCCAGAAATTAAGGAGGGGGTTATTTCTTAAAGCAGAAACGGCAAAACTGACAGTGTTCTAGATATAAAATGTGCAATTTTCTTGAAATTGAGTTCATGCTCCATCACCTTGTCCAAGCAAAAGGCTGGCTGGCTAGAACCATCTGGATCTGTTTCACTAAATTTACTGACACCTGCCTCACTCTGTGTATAGTCAATGGTTTTGGAAATCTGCACTACAATATATTGAAAAAATCCACATTTGGCATTGAAAAGTATGCCGGAATTATATTTGCACAAGGACGCTGGATTTGCATGCTTTGTCATTCACACAGTTGCAAAAGTGGTTTCTAAGGGAGTTGGCTTGGATTTAGGAATATTGTGTTCGCTAAGGAAAAAGGGGGAGACAATTAGATGAAAGAAGATAAAATAGACTAGTAAAGGCAGGGATGTGCAGAAGAGGAGGCTGAAGTGCAAAGAAGCTCATTGTTCTCTCCTGTGTCTTCTCCTTTGTCTATATTATTACCATAAAAACAAACATTTTATCAGGCCTCACCTGGAAGGTTCCCTCCTGTCTGTTTTTATTCTAAGGAACCTCAGAGGGTACAGAAACGGCCTTTGCTGTTACTCAGGCTTCCTAAGATATCCCCTGCGGTACACCTGGTCTTGGAGGTATGTGAGGGGCTTACATCATCAGCAACTGAGCAAGCTGAGGTCTCAGTTATCCTACAGGCAAGAATCTCCTTAGTGTGTCCTTCCAAACAATCCCATCCTCTCACCATCCTCCCAGACTCCACCTTTGACTTCCAAATTGGTCAGGCAAAGCCAAACAGCTGCTCCATAGGCAACAGGGACTCTCCATGCTTTTGCAGTGGAAACTTTCCTCACTATTTTTTATTTAATGGGATCACATTCAAGAAAGCAGCTGAATTTCATAGGAGACAGCATGCCCCATGATCTGAGAAGGCTGCCTTCACAGACTATCGGTCCAACTAGCTCAGTGTTGTAAACAAAGACTGGCAGCAGCTCTCTGGGTTTCCAGACACGGTACATTCCCACTCCTAGCCAACGATGCCAAGGATCAAACCTGGGTCCTTTGGCACACAAAGCAACTGCTGTTCTACAGAGCTATGACCCTTTCCTAAGAGATGCAGCCATGGAGATTTCCAGAGCCTCTGAATGTCATTTGGGTGCTATAGGGACTAATCAGCAAAAGGCTCTTAATAGAGAGGCTCTATTCCGTCATAGGCTGATGGATTTTATCCTGTCACAATCAGCCCTACAGTTCAAAGAACGCGCAGCAATAAGAGCAGTGAAGAGTCACGTCCTATGTGATTCTGTGATTGAACAACTTTCAGGGCCAAAAACTGAACGAAGGAATGGAGCAAGGCCTGAAACTGTGAGTGCCCTGCTCAAAATTGAATCGCAAGTACGAATATGTATTATTTTTATCCTAAAATGATACTTCTGTACATGTGCACAAATGTGGAAATGCTTCATGTATTTTTAAAAAATGAACAGGCAAGGAAGATGAATGTTGTTTATAAGGTAAAGGTAAAGGACCCCTGGACGCTTAAGTCCAGTCAGAGATGACTATGGGGTTACGGCACTCATCTCGCTTTCAGGCCGAGGGAGCCGGCATTTGTCCACAGACAGCTTTCCAGGTCATGTTGCCAGCATGACTAAACTGCTTCTGGCACAACAGAATACCGTGATGGAAACTGGAGTGCACGGAAATGCCATTTACCTTCCCACCAGAGCGGTACCTATTTATCTACTTGCACTAGTGTGCTTTCGAACTGCTAGGTGGGCAGGAGCTGGGACAGAGCAACGGGAACTCACCCCGTTGCGGGGATTCGAACTGCCAACCTTCTGAACCATCACCCACATCCCTTGTTGCTTATAAACAGAATTCAATAAACCTACTGCTATGATGGGTTCAAAATGTATGCAAGGGCTAAGGTGAGCACCTATATATATATATATAACTTGTCTGTGCTGATTTATAAACGTATGGATGCAAATTTAGAAAGTTGTCATCATTTAAAGAGCAATGCAGTACCTCTCAGCACAGTGAGGAAGGCTATGGCCAAGTGACCCATGTCCCTTCTCAGGCTCCTGTCTAGGTGTTGTCGATAAGCGACTTCAAGGGCCCTGCAGCTCACGCTTCTTGTGGGTCTTTTATCTTTAACCCCTTCCAACAGAGGATTTCCTCAAATAGAGGACTAGCCTCCGCAAAGGAGGGCACATGGCCACCCAAGTAAGCAGTGAAAGTTGCTCATATTTGCAACTGGTGCTGGAGTGACAACATATATCCCATAAAGTTTGAAAGAAGCCCCGTGGATCTGTTAGCCGAACACGCCAACAAACTTTTAAAGTTTTACTGCAGTCCTTTTAGAAGCCATCTTCTTACTCAACAGTGCCACCCAGAGGCACAAATAAAATCACCTACTGCGAAGGTAAGAGATATTTTTAAAACTATGTACTCATATAAATGGATGTGCATGACAGAATTATCAATACGTTTCATGTTTAGCACTGCGTGCCCATATGTTGCTAAACTGCATGTTAACTGACAAGCAGTCGTAAAGTGCACATTTTGCCTGCAAAATAAATAAAAATTACAGCCTCCTATTCTGGCATCTCCAATATTTCTTCTTCTTTTAAAGTCAGGTAACAGTGCTGGAAAAGGCCTTGGAGTGCCTCAGCCATTTGTTATGGTGAGCACAGGGGTGCAGGATCTGACTCGGTGCAATGCCACCTCTTCTGTTCACCTCTACAATATTTTTTCAAGTGTAAAGGGTTTCACACCTATCCAGCTGCACATCTCTCCATCAGGAAGATAGAAATAAAGTTAATGCATGAAGAGGTCTGTAGAAAATAGAGGCATTGTGAAGGAGAAGGCACTTCCTTCCATGTCCTGGAAGGAAAAGGGCTTCTGAATTATTGGATTGCGGGACTAAAAGAAAAAGGAAAGAATTTGGCATGCTTGGATACTGAAAATGCTAATTTTGACTGCAGAAATATTGCATGTAACAGAAACCTTAGGAAAGAGAACCTCCCCATTATGTGAAAGGAAGCACTCCACAGGGTATCATAGAAACTGGGGCTTAGTTTAAGGTAGGGGTATGCTTGTTTGCATCCTGAATAATGAGGCAAGTTGAGATTTCAAGGCCAACTATTGCATGCCTAAATCAGATTGCGTCTTTATCAAGGTGTTTTGAGGCAAATCAAGGACCTCCTAAGCTCCTGAGACACTCTGTAGCCTTATTTTGTTTTTTACACTCACACACACACACATAAAATCCGGTTAAATGTGACGTCCTTTATTTTCCCCTCTTCCTTTCTGAGAAATGAAACCTTGAGAAATGCCCAAAGCTCAAGAGGAAAGAGTGTAGAGGGTAAGGATCTTTCATTTTGATGGTCAGATCTAGCTTTTAGTCCCAGTGAATTATTTCCAAAGGCAACTCCAGTCACGATGGAGGGGTGTTGCAGGATGATGTTCGGAAGGACTGCCCTGTCAATAATAAGTAAGATCATTGGTTTGCAAGCAACGATAGTCTCTCTATAGCTTGCTTTATATTTGGGGCACAGAAAATCAATATAGCAGAACACATGAATCTAATACTTGGGGTTTGTCCATGTCCTACTCCCATGTCAGTACACTGAACAAGATGAGGGACCCACTGGCATTATTCAATAAGGCCCGTACATATGCATGGCTCCTACAACCAACTTAGAACCCGAATCACACAGAAGACCTTTAGGCAGCACAAGTAAATCCCACTGAACTCACTGTGGGCATGCATACAACTGTGTTGTTAGGCATTATCGCTGTCAGCCTGCATAGCCCATGGTCGTATTGGTATTTGGAAACACTGGCATTTGGGGACATGGCT